GAATCGACTGAATCGGTCCAAGATTGCTCTCATCAAGTTAGCTTGAGCAAGATTAGTCCTGCAAAAGAGAAATAAGTTGTCAATAAAAATAAAATGTGTGAGGGGGCGCCCCTCGCGCCAGAACCATAGGCTCCCAAAGTCCTACATCCATAGCATAGTGAACACTATGTCCAAGTCGCTCCATATAGAGCACAAACAAGTAAGGCGCGACAAGAGGCATCCTTGACGGATTCCTCTGGACAGTTTGAAATCTTCTGTGAGGGTTTCGTTCCTGAGGATTTGCATGGAGGAAAAGGAAATTGATTCCATGATGATTCGGTGGATGTAGCCCATGTTTATGAGAGAATCCGAGAGAAAGTCCGAACTGACTCTGTCATAAACTTTCTCTAAATCTACTTTCGCTGCCATCTAACAAGTTTTCCCTTTCTTCCGTTTCATGGAGTGAATCACCTCCTGAATGATGATAATATTGTCATTAATATTTCACCCCGCAATATAATTAACTTGATTCAAAGCAATAATTCTAGGAAATCTTGCTTTGAATCTGTTAGCAATAATTTTCATAGCTAAATTGTAAAGGACATAACATAGATTAATCAGGTGAAAATGGGCAAAGGTAAGGGGATTGTCTACTTTGGGAATTAGGAAAATAAGAGTTTTATTCACTTCAGCTTCGATAACATTACCATTGAAGATACATTTTACCCAGTTACAGACTGAATCACCAACCGTTTGCCATTGATTTTGGAAAAAAAAAGGGGGCATGAAGCTCGTCTTTTTTCCGGAGCTTTGTGTCGATTCATTTCGAACATGGCATTCTTTATCTCTTCGTTTGTGATTGCGCACTCAAGGGATTGCATTTGTACCTGAGTGAGCTTGGGAAACATGCCTCGAAAAGGGAAAGCGTCAATCATCTTCCCGTATTCTCGGTATAGCTCATTAAAGAATATTGAGGCCTCCCTTCGGAGCTTATTATCATCATTAGCATCATTGTTCATTAATTTTCAAAACCTGAATACGGTTAGCTCTTCGTCTGTTCACCGCCTGGCCATGAAAAAACTTGGTATTTCGGTCTTTGTCAATGGCCCAGTTACTTCTCGATTTTTGAAGCCAAAGCAGTTCTCAAGGATGCTCTCTAGTTCGGTTCTAAGTTCGAGCTCTCTAGTAGTAAGATGGTTCGAATTATTTCTATCACGCTCATTTTGAATGGAAGAGAGTTTGTTTTTTAAGATTCCATTTCTTCTGGATAATATGATCTCGATAGTAATAAAAAAATGGTAAGGGGATGATATGATCTCGATTATGTGTTTCGAGTCATATACGTTGTTGCCCGATCATGGTTCTAGTCATAAAAGAAGTGTGGTGGTGATAACGGTTGAATGGATGTAACAAAAATGGTAAAGGACGGTTGTAGTCGGCGAGGAGGATGATAGAAATTCAAAGGATAGATTGTGACCCGTAAGCTATATATAGCTAAGAACCAACAATATAATATGATGAAATCGATGTGGAAGAGGATGGAATGTGACCCACTAGCTATAGGTGAGCTAGGAACCAACGTTATAATAAAATGAAATGGAGAAAAGCTTCAAGACTGACAAGAAGCCAATAGAGTTCTAATCCAATAACTAAAATGAAAGCAACCTTTCAAAGAGTTTATTATGCAAAAAGTTCTTAGTACAAATGCCATGAAGGTACCTATTTATAGTGTTGATAGGCACCATATGAAGAGTTTTTACAATTAAAATAAAACAATCACCTAAATGCAATTGAATTCAATTAAATGACTTGTCATTCTTCTTATCCTTTGATGGTTGACCATGTAGATTGAAAATGGATGAATTAAGATTTAATTTGAGATAATTCTAGCCTTAAATTCGTCCAAAAAGGAGGAGTGACTCTGGAGCTGCCTTACTTTGCTTGCAAATGGAAGAAAATAGAATAAATGAAGTCATTGGATGAATATGGACATCCTACATGTCCAAATCAACTTGTCTTTTCAACTTCCTTGCTGATTTTATCACATAATTTGGTGGTTAAATAAAATAAAATCAGCCTTCATTGCTTGTTCCCTTGTAGAATATGATCAAAACCTTCAAAAGATGATAAAGGCATTAAATGCAAAGTTTTGAATGCTGGTTATTGCATGTCCCCTTGCTTGAACATGAATGACCTTCAATGGATGATAATATCAACCTTGAATGCCTTGAATTGGTGAATTAAGATGGTCATCAATTGCTTGTCTCTTGGTAGAAGATGAAAGTACTCTTCCTTGGCTCAAACTCATCCAAATCATCATTGTATAAAATTCCCGTAATAAAAATTTCAGCCTACATTGTTTTCAGTAAATCAATCATATCTCAAGCTTCCGATATTGTATTGAGGTGATTCAAAAGGCGTTGGAAAGATAAGAGATAGAGGTATAATGTAAAATTGATTTATGGACCCAAAAATGTCTATATCATATCCATAATTAGAAGACATTCTGACTGATTTTCTTGCATCTGTTGAAACCGTTCAAATTCTCTCATGCATTTAGACACAAATGTGAACTTTATTCAATCTTTAATTGAAATCATGCATGAAACAATTAATAGTTAGTCTAATAAATGAACTAGTTTGATGAATGAACTAGTTTAATTAATGAACTAACTTTATTCAATGAACTAGATGCATGAATGAAGTAACTTACTAAATGATCTAAATATGTATAAATGAACTACTTCCCCAAAAATGAATAGATGCTTTAAATGCAATGCATTATTAAATAAACAGCACACTTATTAAATGCAATGAATGTCATGCAACTAATAAAACTCATGTAAATTCATGCAATGAATGATATCATATGATAAGCATATCCCAAGAGATAAATACAAACATATGATAAAATATAGTGCATAAATGAGCAGGTATAAGATGAAGTAAGGTAGAACTCCCTTTGAATCAGTCTTGGTAAACTTCAATGATTTAATCAGATCAAGACAAAATTTAAGGCTGATTGGGATCACATCAGGTGACTTGTTCCAACCGATTCGGACATGGACAAACTGTAGGTGGGTTGCAATGGGTTGCCATCACCATCACTGGGATAGAATTGTTCCAAAGGATCCATATACCTCCTGAGTATTCGACCGCCTCAACTTTATACGACATATCAAAACTTGAACGCTCGATGACCTGATCGGCTTGTCACCCGCTCACTCTCGTTTCTAAAAGAGATATCATATGGGGGTTGTGCTCCTTAGTATACTCTCTGAGAACTCTGGGAAATATCTTTTCACCGCTTCCCTGACAATTCCAAGTAAAAAGTTTAAAAATCATGGACATAGATGGGGGTAACGTGATTGAACGTTGCCTTTAGCAACGACATTCAGCTTTTGCACCACTTCACAAGAATTGTGTTGTTCATGAAGACTTTCCACTATATTTTTCATCGCTCTCTTGAGACTTTCCTCTGGGTGCACTTTAGCAGGTCTAATGGCTCTCGAGATTCCTGCTGATCTCCGTCGGCCCTCTTCCGTTCGCCTTCTCCTTACTCTGTTTTCTTGTTTCTCTCTCGGCTGAACTGCTTTCTGGATGGATTGGAGGAAACTATTCAAGAGTTCAGAATCTCACGACCTTGAATATTTCCCCCCAAATGTTCGTGATGGATCCCCGATAGTGCTTCCCCCTCCGGAGATACTTGATGCTGGAATCTCTGAGTGGAAACTATCACTCGTGGGTCAGTTCATTGGAGTCACGCCAAGCTTTGCCTCAGTTTAGAGAATCGTCGATAATCTTTGGAGTAAAGCCTTGCTGGGTTTACGTGTTCAGGTCAGTTTTGCATGTTCCAATCTCTTTATCTTCTCTTTTGACAATGAATCTGCTAGAGATTGGGTTGTTGACAATGGTCCTTGGCATGTTCATAATAAGACCCTAATTCTTAGGAATTGGGAACCGAATTCGCAAAGCCTTTGTTTTGATTTAACTAAGATTCCTATCTGGGTTCATCTATACAATGTTCCATTAGAGCTTTTCTCCAGAGTAGGACTTAGCTACATCTCTAGTGCAATCGGTAATCCTCTGTCGATGGACTCCATCACTGCTTCTAAAACTAGGCTTGAGTTTGCAAAAGTATGTGTGGAAATAGGTGTTAATGATGTCATTCCAAAATTCATAGAAGTCGTCCTCAGAGATGGACATCAAACTTCAATAACTGTTGAGGTTCCTTGGCATCCTCCTTCTTGTAAGAAATGCCGAGTATTTGGGCATAATGATAAGTCTTGTCAGCAAAGAACCACTCTAAAAGTCAATTCTGGTCCTGCTCAAGTCTGGAAAATGAAGGAAACTGCTCCAAGTGCTAGTCAAGTAGGAGGTATTGAAGTTCTGCAAGAACCAGTCTGTAATGTCTCAGAAGGTATTGAGGTCGGTAATTTGCAGGAGGAGAAGGGAGGTGCTATCTCGAATCAAGATAATTCCAAAGGAGGAGTTGCTATAACCACTAGTGATCTTCCAAAGGATGTTGATATCTCTATTCTCCAGGAGCAGTCTGAAACTCTTGTTAATGATAAGCTCGACCATGTTGTCTCTGCTATTACAGAGTCACAGCATCATCAGGAACTGGATACTGCTGTTGCAGACCTTATTATTCCTCAATTTGCTACTATTCCTTCCACCAGCTCAGTTCCTCAGTCTAAAAAGGTAAGAGGTAAACATTTTAAGGATACTGGCCAGGGCTCTCTATCAGGATCAAAAAACAAATTTGAAGTGCTCAACTCCGTTGATGAACTTCCTAATTTAGAGAATCAACCTCGAAAGCCTAGAGCAGCATCATTAGGAGTTGCTTGTTTAGTCAAGGAGCTAAAATCAAAAAAGAAAAATCAAATTGACAAAGTTAAAAGTATGTCTGTAGAAAGCCAAGGGGGGTCCTCTGGATCGCCAAACTTATGATAATCAGTTTCTGGAATGTTAGAGGACTCAATAGCCCTCTAAAACAAAATAAAGTGGTTCATAGAGCCATGCTGAACAAGGTGGATGTCCTTTGTCTGCTGGAAACCAGAATCAAAGTGGATAAATCTGAAACAATTTTTTGTTCTAAATTTTCTAATTGGAATTTTTGTTCTAATTATGATTATGCCATCAATGGAAGAATATGGATGCTTTGGCGGAAGGGAATAGACCTGTCCATCATTCAAGTTGCTGATCAGTGTATTACTGCCAAAGGGAACTTTCAAGGTAAACCGGTATTCATTTCTTCCATCTACGGTAGTAATGATGGAGTTCACCGTAGGCAGCTTTGGCAAAAGATAAAGGATGTTGAGTCTATTGTTGATCAATCTCCTTGGGTCTTAGGAGGAGACTACAATATTTTTTTGCACTCTCAAGAAAGTTCTGACCACGATCTCTTAGGTCATTACCTCACTCCTGACATGAAAGATTTCCAAGTATTCACTCAAGAGCTTGCTTTGCACGATCACCCTTTTTTTGGTCCCAATTTTACTTGGAGTAACAAACAACAAGAGCTTTTTCTTGCTAGGAAGCTTGACAGAGTCTTAGTCAATCCTAGATGGGACTCTGCTTTTCCTAATTCCTTTGTTGAATTCCTCGCTCCTGGTGTCTCTGATCATTGCATGGCTGTAATTTGGCTTTCCAAAGATCCTCCTGCTTCTAGGCCGAAACCGTTCAAATTCTTTAATTTCTGGACTGCCCATCCAGTTTTTTTGAGTAATGTTAGACAGTCTTGGTCCCACAATGTTCTCGGCAACCCTATGACTGCCTTGTTCTCTAAGCTGAAAAGACTCAAAATTTGCCTTAAGGGTTTTAACATCGAACACTATAGCAACCTTTCGGACCGTGTTAAATTAAAGAGGGCTGAATTGGAACACCAACAACTCCTAACTCTTAAAGGAGAGAATGCCATTGAGAAAGAACTCGAACTACAAGACCAGTTGAAAATCCTTGAAGAGGCTGAAACTAATATTCTTAAGCAAAAGGCTAAAATCCAATGGATGAGAGATGGTGACAAAAACACAAAGTTTTTCCACTCGATTGTAGCCTTTAAAAATAAGAGGGACACTCTAAGAATTCTAGTGGATGACAGTGGGAATAGACTTGAAACTTATGACGACATGTCTAAAGAAGTTGTTTCCTTCTTCTCTAAGCTTCTTGGTTCTTCTGACCCCATGGTCAAGGACACCGATCCTGCTCTTCTTAATAACCTCCTTAATTTTTCCATGTCGGCTGAAGCTTCCTCTAATCTCGTGAAGGAAGTTACTGAAGAGGAAATAAAAAAATGCTATCTTTTGTCAAGGCAACGATAAAGCTCCTGGACCAGATGGATTCACTCCCTACTTCTTCAAAGTTTCCTGGGCTATTGTGGGCAATGACGTTATGTCTGCTATTAAATTTTTCTTCAGTAACGCTTTTATGCATCCGGCTTTTAACTCCACTATTATCGCCCTTGTCCCTAAAATTCCCAACCCCAGAGCTGTCAAGGACTTCCGGCCTATTTCTTACTGCTCTGTTATCTACAAGGCCATCACTAAAATTCTTGTCAATAGAATGAATGCTTACCTTCCTCAGATTATTACCATGAATCAGACTGCTTTTATAAGAGGAAGAAACATTATTGATAATTCACTCCTTGCTCAAGAAATGGTCAAAGGATATGGCAAGAAAGTTATTTCTCCAAGGTGCTCCATGAAAATCGATCTTCATAAGGCTTTCGATTCCTTTCATTGGGGCTTCATCTTATCAATCCTTTGAGCCCTTCAATTCCCTAATATTTTCATTGATTGGATTGTAATCTACTTCACCCAAGCCAGGTATTCTATCTCTTTCAATGGATCTTTAACTGGTTATTTCAAAGGAGCTAGAGGGCTCAGACAGGGGGACCCCATCTCCCCTTATTTGTTCATTTTAGCCATGAACGTCCTTTCAAATATGCTCAATTTGGCTGCTGCTAAAGGCATTTTTGCTTTCCACCCAAAGTGTAAGAAGATTGGGCTAACTCACCTTTCCTTCGCAGACGACCTCTTGATCTTTTGCAAAGGCAATGTTGATTCGGTGATTGGTGTCCTAAGTGTTCTTGATCACTTTTACCAAATTTCTGGGCTTAATCTTAACTCTTCAAAAAGTGAACTCTTTGCAGCAGGTATTTCTTCAAGGACGTTAGAGGATCTTAAACTCTTTACTGGTTTCAAGATTGGGTCGTTGCCTGTCAGATACCTCGGCATTCCTCTCGTTACAAGGAAATTAACTGCCAAAGACTGCGAGCCTTTACTCGGTAAAATCAGGCAACGCTTGCAGCACTGGTCTGGCAGGAACCTTAGCTATGCTGGCAGGCTTGAGCTAATTCGCTCTGTCCTGTTCAGCGTCTGTAACTTTTGGTACAGGCAACTCATACTTCCTGCTTCCATTCTTAAATCTGTGGATCAACTCTGTTCCAGGTTTTTCTGGAAAGGAGCTGATACTTCAGCAGCCGGTGCTAGAGTAAGTTGGGAATCCATATGTCTGCTGAAATCTGAAGGAGGTCTAGGTTTAAAAAACACTGCTATTTGGAATAAAGCTTGTACCATCAATCTTATTAGAAAAATTCTAACAGGCGATGGATCTTTATGGGTTGCATGGCTAAAATCCTATGTCCTAAAGGAGCACGATTTCTGGACTTTTGCAGCTGGATCTAATGTCAGCTGGAGCTTTTTTCGAATTCTCAAGTTGAGATCTATTGCTTTCCCTATAGTCTCGGCTGCTCATCAGCCGATCAAGGAAGTCTGGGATAAGATTCGGATAAAACGCATGAAGGTTTGTTGGCACAAACTTATCTGGTATCCTTTGCATATCCCAAAACACAGTTTGATTTCATGGATGGCCTTATTGAATCGGTTACCAACCAGAGACAGGTTGCAGAAATTGGGTTTATGTTCTGATTCTACATGTGTTAACTGCTGTCAAGATCAAGAATCGCAAGATCACCTCTTCTCTCACTGTCCTTTTGCTATCGGACTTTGGAAAGAAATTTTACAACTGAACGATATGACTATTACTCCTCTTACTTGGGAAACTATGGTATCTTGGGCTAGCACAACTTGGAGAGGGAAGTCTCTTATCTCCACCTTATTGAAGATTTCTTGGAACGCTTTTATCTACTTCATCTGGCAGGAAAGGAATCAACGTATTTTCCAGGGTCGGCAAAGATCGATCGATATTTTGCTTAATGACATTATTGAAACTGTTAGTATTAGACTTAGGGGCAAAGCTATTAATAGACTTGATAGAACTAACCAATTGCTTTGTAATGCTTGGGGTATAGTCTAACCAAGCTTTGGTTCTTTTGCATTTAGGTTGCTTTTTCTCTTTGTTGGATGATTTGTTGTAGTATAACATTGTTATTTTGGGTAATAAATTCTGATTTATCCAAAAAAAAAACATAGGCTCTATCTTTTGAAGCGTGTGGTCGTCGGCTGCTGGTTGCATCCTAGAGCTTCGGCTTGCTGCAACTCGAATCTTCAACGAATGTGATGACATTATGAAGTTTTGTTTTAAGGTTGGTGTTCGTCATCTGGCCCTTGAGTCCGAGTCAATTCTAAAAAATAGGATTGTTATTCGTCTGGAATTGAGATCCCATTTAGAGTGACTACCGCAGCTGGTTTGGACACCTTTCCTTGCATGAAGTTGGGTCCTGTTTTGAACGATTCCACGTGTTCCACTTGTTTGGGTTCTGTGGCTTGCTCGTTGTTTCTCACGTGTTCAACCTGCATGGCCACCAAGTTAGAGTTAATAATTTTATTTTGACCAGAAGGGGGAACATTTACCTTGTGTTAGTGCGTTGAATAATGGCCCCATGGAATTATTATTTTTGGATAAGTTAAATTTTATTATCCAAAGGAGTAAAGTTATGCTACATACAACAAAAAATGGCTAGTCTATATTCCAATAGTTACAAAGGTTAAAGTTAACATTATCAATTATGTTAATGTTTTTGCCTCTTAGTTGAATTCAGACAAGCTCCTTGATGTTCTTCAAAAATTGATCCACATTGCTAGACCTTCGTTGAAAAATTATTCTATTTCTTTCCTCCCAAATCAAGTAGATGAATATAGTCCATGTTATCTTCAGAATAGTGGAAATAAGAGATTTGCCATTCTAATCTTTACAAGATCATTCTATCATTGTTTCCCAAGACATGTGAGGTTTGCGCAATTGAGTAAGATGCAATATAGAATTCCACAGGGAATTAGCGAAGTTACAATCGGCAAACAAATGATTCCTAGTTTCAAGAGCCTCATTCCATAAGACACATAGACCATCAGTAACAATTCCACTACAAGAAAATATACCTTTAATGACACACGAACGATGACCACGCTAATTTATGACTTGCAAAACACGTGTGTCATAAAAAAATGTCATGTTTCTTAAAATCTTAACGATTTATGACTTACAATAGTGTGTTTCATATTTAATAGTCATAATCCAAAAAATTTAGCAACACGGAGTACACTTTTTATTGTGTGTCATCTCTAAAGGTCGTCTTTTAATTCCCCCCCCCATAATTTTCATCTTCACTTCTTTTCGGTCTCTTTTTCCAGTCTGTTTCCCTCTCTCTACCCTTTCAAACTCTTCAAATACCAGCAAAAAATGCCCTCTCCCTTTCACATTAACATTCTCTCGTAGCCCTTTCTCTTCTCTTCTCTTCTCATTTTTCTTCAAAATCAGTTTCCTTTGTTTCGTTTCTGGGGGTTCTGTTCAGCAATGGCGAAGGCTAATATCGAGAAGGTGAAGAGGCTAAGAGCTTGGGTTCAAAACTACGTTTGGGGAAGATGTGGGATAGAGGCACATGTGGCGAGGCTTTTGGCTTTGAATTTTGGGTCTGAGATTAAGCTTGATAGGCCATATGCTGAGTTTTGGATGGGAATCCATGACTCAGGGCCAAGTTTTACGGCTGATGACAATGAGAAGGTGGGAATTTGGGTTTAAAAGATTGGATTTTGAAGAATCCGAATGGGCTTGGTCACAAGGTTTTGAAAAAATGGGGGCCTGATATTCCTTTTCTGTTCAAGGTTTGTTCTTTTCTTTTACAAGTATTTCTCTACTTTCTTTCTGGGGATTTCTTTTTTTCCCCTCCCATTTCCTTTGATTACTGGGAAATTGAATTTTGATTTTTGTGTGCATGCGTTTGGAATTGGGTTAATGAGTTTTCTTTTTCATTTTAATGGTAATGGCCAGAACTTTTGCTACAGTATTCATGGAAATTAAATTATCACCATTCATCTAAAATTTTCATTTTTACCATTTTTGTGATGTCCATTATTATTTCCCCCTCTACTTCTTTTGGTATTTAGAAGTGTAAAATTTTACTTTTTGGGTTGTTTTCATCTCAATTTAAGTTTAGATCAAAGCGATCAAGATAGAAATTAGGGAACTAGAATGGATCTTGGAGATGTTAATGGCAAAGAATTAAGCTTGACAGTTAAAAATGGCAACCAACATAACTTTAACTACAATATGAGCATTTTCTTCTTCTGGTATTTATCTTTTGCAAGTAAAATCCTAACCTGATTCCGTGTTTCATATGCTTTAATATAGGTATTTTCAGTGGCAAAACCCCTTTCAATACATGCACATCCGGATAAAGAATTGGCCAAAGAATTGCATAAGTTGAAGCCAAATCACTATAAGGATGCTAATCATAAACCTGAGATGGCTTTGGCCATAACAGAATTCAGGGCCCTTTGTGGGTTCATTACTCTTGAGGTAATACATGAATCATGCTCGGTTTTTGGTGGTGGAACTTCCCTTTCCTGGTTGTCTTCTTCGAGTGAATTACTCTTGCCTTTATGTTTGTTAAAATTCTTGGTAGTCACATTTTGCATCTATATTTGTCATCTATGCTGTCAAGTTATGATTATGGAAATGATATGCATGATGAAACTGAGTCCAAATCACATCCGGAATCGAGATATAAGGTAATCTATCTTGACTTTCTGTGAATCCACTGTCACCTTTTCTGGTTGGTGTTGTTTTTGCCTAAACCGCCTAGGCATAAATATTATACTTGCTATCTTTAGGTGAAATTTAATGTCACCGTGCCAGAATGTTCTCATGTCTATTGATATTAGAGGATTATTAATATTTTTAAACTTATTTTCTGTATATATTTATGATGCTCCAGGATAGGTAACATCACATTATAGAAGTTTGATACCCAGTCTAGCAATTTTCATAGAGTTTCTGCATGCTGAGGAATATAATACTTTAATTGTGAAAAAAAGATAAATATTTGAGTGTATTGTTTAGCCTTTCTTTGTCTTGTACTGCT